CACATTAAATTTATTGTCTCCGAAGGCTCAGGTCAAAAAATCAACACAGATGTTGGCCTACTGGTGTGAAAGCGCTCGCAGACAACAATACGAATATAGTATTTTTAGGAAATAAAAATATATAGAGGGTTTTATACACGAGAATATTTGATTTAAACGAAACAAAGAAATTCCTAAAATGCTCAAACTAAAAATTGTTGGAAACATAATTAGATCGAAAATTGGGAAAATCTTAAAATTATAACAGAACAAGACTTCAAAATAAAAACATGATTGCAAATAAAACAAACTTACATTAACATAACTTCAAATATTGCTGTCTTTTTCACCAAACAAACTTACATTAAATTATGAAAAAAACTAAATGCTCATCTACTTTTTGCTATATACAAAAGTTGTCTGTCAATGTTTAATTCGTTAAATATAAATAACAAAGATCAAATATATGGATAGGAGTACACAACATATTTAGGGAATAAATATTTTAAATGGGAATTACAAATAAAAAATATTAAAACTTTATTTATTGTATATCTCAATATTTAGTGACAATTTTGAGACTTAATTAGGAGAAAACTGTAAATTTATTAAGATGAGATATTGACAAAAGTTAAATACTTCATAACTTACAATACACTTAGAATATACTAATACTCTTATAGTTGTAAGTAATGAAGTATTATTTATAAATACAAAAAACTCTTTTCTACTAGTCAAACCCTTTCATTTGATACCCATATTGAAGTAGTTGTGAAAAAATAAGTAATCCGCTATTGTGTAGCGGCGTCCATCTTGGATATACAATGATACTGAATGTATGTAGTGTATGTATAGTCGATTCGCTAATCTCAGACACAACTATCTAGTATTTTAGTAATTATTTTATTGCGAAAGTTAGTTACATTTTAACAGACTAGAACTGGATGACAATTACTATATTTACAAACCAAGCACATATGCCATAGCCAATATTAAGAGTAAACAGACATAAATCTTACTCAATCAATCATTATTTATTTACACCGTTATATAATTCCACAACAGACAACGGAAGATTTGACCAATAATTTAAAGGTAAATGCTCCAAATATACATTTTTACTTCAAGAAGTTAAAGGTTACGGAGTACCAAGCAAAACTTTAAAGTTTCATATCCATTGGATTATAAAAATGAAGTTCTCAATCCCAGTATCTGGCCTGAAGGTTCAATGGTTCGTCGTTTTGACTTCAAGTATAAGAAGTTGTACTAACCGCAGTTAACAACAAAACCAGAAATAATTGTTACAAATCCGGCTTAGGCAAACTAGATACTACAAATAATTTTAAAGGCAATACCAATCAACTAAAAATCGTATGTATTAACTCTGAATCTATTGTAAACAAAATAAATTGTATCCAATATTAGTTTAAACTGAAAGTCTGGATTTACTATGTATATCCGAATCATGTGTAATGACAATAATATAAATTCGTTTTATCTTCCTAATGCTCTCTTGTAATGATTCGTAATACTTTTTTGATTATTTTTTTAGGTTATTAGGATAAAGATAATTTATTAGGAAATTCCACGACGAACAAATTATATCTTGTATCAACACAAGCCAAAAAGAATCGGTGTATTATTGTATTATCAACGTCAACATCAGAATAAACAAAAAAGTATTTTCATATATGGTTCCATCAATACGATTTTCACCATTACTTTGCATTGTGCGATGTATTTGCAACCTTTTGTAAATAAAAAATAATTACACCATTTAGAATGTCAACAAAAGCCGGCCCTGCATGTAATTATTTTTTCAGTGCAATATTTCATATTTATTGAAAGTCAACATAAATGCTCAATTTTATTTAAGAATTTATATTGTGTAATATGCCCACTGACTATTAAAAAATAAGGTGCTTTCCTGTCATTTTTCACTCGTTGGCGGCTTGCCCACGCAAATCAAAGGAGTGTCGCTTCTCTGCGTTCGTAGTTCTCTGGTATATCTATCATGGAGAAGTTTTGAATAACTAACGTTTTGCAGACGATACAGTAATAATTACGGATAACAACAATGATTTACAGAACCTAATGCAACGCCTTAATGAACGCTGTCATGAGTACGGACTACGGAAGATAAATTTAAAGAAAACTAAATGCATGATCATGACTAAATCTGCACATGCAAATATCCAATTGACTATTGAAGATACTGCAATTGAGAGTGTTAATAACTATAAATACTTAGAAACATGGATAACATCAGATGTAGACCAAACCAAAGAAATTAAGACACGTATTGAAATAGCACGTACATCATTTATTAAACTTTCTTCTTCTTCTTCTTTCTATAAAAAGTTTCTTTGTTGTCGGGATATAAGGTTAGAACTACGCCTGAGAATGCTTCGATGTTACGTGTTCTCTACTCTTCTTTATGGTCTGGAAGCTTGGACACTAAAGCAAGTTCATCTGAATAAGTTGGCCGCCTTTGAATTTTGGTGTTACAGAAGAATCCTACGAATATCATGGATTCAAAAAATGTCAAACATGGAAGTAACTAGAAGGATAGGAAATGAGGCGGAAATAATATTAACTATTAAAAGACGAAAACTTGAGTACTTGGGACATGTGATGAGAGGGCAAAAATACGCATTATTACAACTTATTATGCAGGGCAAAATCCGAGGAAAGCGAAATGTGGGAAGACGAAGAATATCCTGGCTTAAGAACTTAAGGGAATGGTTTGAATGCAGTAGTGCAGACCTTTTTAGAGCGGCAGTCAACAGAGTCCGCATAGCCATGATGATTTCCAACCTTCGATAGAAGATGGAACTTAAAGAAGAAGAAGTGGAACGGATTGCCCCTTCTAACTTAGTCATTCTTTTTAACCTGTAATAGGTGAAGTTCTACTTAGTTTCCACGTCTTGGATTGGCCATTTGGGAACTTTGTTATGTTGTAATTAATACTTTAAAAAGCCTTTCTGAATATTAGGTACTTTTTTTAATGTGTTTTTTGCAGAATTGTCGAAAAAAGGACTTTTTATTTTATCTATTATCAAATCAGTTTTGACATAACATTGCTGAAGTAATGAATCTAACAGTTTTTCTTGTTGGCGGTTTATATCCAGGAATCCACCCTGCAAACATTTTAAAAGCTGGTTCTTCACCTATGGAAAACGGATGAAACGAGTCTTTGCATAAGTTTAGTAAATCTTGAAAATCAACCAGTACAAGAAAAAGAAAATGATAAAGATGACTTAAGTCCATGGTGTATTTTTGATGAATTAATTGGACATGACTCATCTAAACGTACACCTGTATCGAGAGATATACAAGAAGTCGACATGTATTTGTCTGATGATATATTACCCACAATAAATTTCGAACGGAGATTGGAACTGTCCATTACCGTGGTGGAAAAACCATCGCCATGTATATCCTAACTTAGTCACTATATTCATAAAATATTGTAGTATTGTAACAAAATCTTTTCCTTGTGAACACATGTTTAAAATCTGGTTTAATTTTAAATAAAAGAACACAGTTAACAAGAAAAGTGGAAAAACTTGTTTTTAAATGTCATTTTAGACGATTCGCGATTTAATAATAACGTGTAATGTAAATGTAAGTACGATTTAATGTAAATGTAAGTACTATTTGTATTGTTTAATTTATTTTTCAAGTTATAATAAATATATCCTTCCTTAGATTCTTTCACTTCAATACTTATACACATAAACGATAATAGCCAATATGTTTGTGTACTCGCTAATTTGAATACTGGTAAACAATCAACTAGTTACAGTTTACGAAAAACGGTTCCGATAAAAATTTAAAAAACGGGAGGACCCACCTCTAGTTTTTTAGGTATATTAGGATCAGAACCAGAGAATATGTAAAATATCTCTGATCGGAACTATTCGTCTCACTAATGGCCAATGGGTGCTAAAAATATTTGTGGAGGGGAGACCAAGGGGAAATATGATTGTTATCTTTGTCTATTCGCTGAAAATATGATTTTATATCTGCGTTAGATATCCTGTTAAATTTTACCATACCGACCATAAACTTTTACCTACACTGTATATCCAGTTATACCTTCCTTCGAGCTACCACCTTTGCCCAGAAGACACAAGGTTATTCTAAGAAGATGAATTGGACACACTCGGCTTACACATGGCTTTTTCCTAGCATCTACTGATCCACCTGCATGCAGCAGTCGTTTTACCGTCAAGCATTTCCTTAAAGAATGTTCGCATCTTTCTCTTAAAAGAAAACAATATCAGTTGGGTGATAATATGCAAAAAATGTTAAATGAAACTGAGAAATATGCAAGTCTGTTTAAATATTTAAAAGACATTCAAGTGCTTTATAAACTTTGAATTGTAATTATGTATAACGGTTAAATTTGAAAAAAAAAAATAAGTATTGTGTATTATGTACTGTGTATTGTTAAACCTAAAACTGTATTTGTTAATACCCTTATATTGTATTATACTGACATCCTGTCAATGACCTCGCCACCGGGACACGTTAATTCAAATAAAAAAAAATTACACTGGTTGCAAATTGAATCTTTTATTGACAGATATTCCTTAAACTTTTTACTTTTCATATAATGTATGTATTTTCTTAGTTATATGTCATATAGTTTTTTATTTTAGCCGGCTTAGAATAAATATATATTCACCAGAATACCAGAGTGTTGAATTGATGTAAATAACCGCTATTTTGTGACGCTATCCGTGACAAGAAACTTTTACTACACTTCTCCAATATTATGTGTTGGATTTTTACAGCTTTTACCACCGCTCTCAACTCATTCTTTACAGTTTCTTGGCCACACTAAATATTGAATTAAGGGGACTACTAAAAATAAACTGATTGACAAAATATTATGTACTCACATTTTCCTATGAAAATATGATTTTATAATTGGTAATGAAGATCTGATATATTTATTGATTTATTAGAGCCTTTAAAATAAAATGTAATATTCAATTATATTCATTTTTTAGTTTGAAATGTACTCTTCCGCCACAATTGGAGAATGGAAGGTGGGTAGTAACTGAAGCAGATGTTAATCCAGGTGATCAAGTGGACGTTAACACAATAATAAGATTGGAATGTCACAAAGGTTACCAATTATACCCTAATAACTCCCTACTTCTTTGTGATAGCAGCTGGGATGAAACAACTTTTCCAATGTGTCAAAGTAAGGTTTTTATTAATTGTTTTTTAGTTTTATGCCGCTAAGCAACGACCAAATTAATAGATATAGAAAAATCACGAAACATTAAGTGGATTCTTCATTATAGAAATGATATTTTGATATTACGAAATAAATTAGTTCTGTGTTTTGAGTTTACTAGCAAAGTATTTGTAAATATTTTTTACGTCTGTTCGTTTTAAATATGTGGAGTGGAACTGATAGAATATGTGTTTTTCAAAAGTGAAAAACAAGTGAAAAACGAGTTACTCTTTTTCTTAATACAATTTAACCCTAACGCTAAGAATACAAGCTTAAAAGAGTTGCGTATGTTACAATCAAACGGTGAATCTGAACACCGGCCGAACCTTTTACTCACTTCGCGATGTGGACAGTGTGATACCAAAATCGCCGAGTAACTATTTCATTCGGACTTAATGTAAATATATATCTATATATATATATATATATATATATATATATATATATTATATATATATATATATATATATATATATATATATATATATATATAATATATATATTATATATATATATATATATATATATATATATATATATATATATATAAATAATCAAATAATTACATATATGTTATATGCATTGTACCAACGAATGTTCCTTATCACGACGATTCCCAGGGTATCAGGTTTTCACCTCCAACAACCTGAGCCGATAAGGAGCCTTGCAAATGCAGTACCACAAGAGTCAGCGGGACCCAAGCTTTTTACACGTTCCCACTGAGTTAGCATTTACTAATATTATAAAACCGCTTGTCGCTATTTATTTTCATTCATTATATTTTTGTAGTTCGTTCAATATATTCTTACATTTCATTTTTATAATTCATTTGTAACACGTAATTTTGATAATTGTATTTTTGTAATAAATTAATTTTTTAAAAAGCCAAAAAAGTGTTTCGTGATAGAAAAAGTGGCGTAGCCGCAGTAGGATCTGAAAACGTTGGCAGAACAAGGAAGAACCGAACTGACAACGGTGGATTCCAATCCTTTAATCAGAAAAAGAACCAGAAAACTCCAAAAACGTAGTGCTGTCCTTACTTTGCAGAAATCTACGGAAGGAACATTAAGTGAAACCCCTGGTGGATTAGCTGTCGAGAACAAGACGACTTGATGTTTTTGGAACTAAGTATGTAAGTCTAATATTGAATCATCTCGTATATGATTTTTGTTTTATACCATTTATTACCATATACTGTTCGATATTCCAATATTAAATATTCTTTTAATTAATACTTTTATGCCGAATTTAATTATTTTTTGAAAATTACTTTAATAATTATAAACTTTTGGCGATTATTCTGTAAATCGTCAACTTTTTTTATTTTCATTTTATTAATTATTTTAATATTTACATTTTCGATTTATTAGTTTGATATTTACATTTTGTTTTATTATTTGATGTTTATATTTGATTAATTATTTAGTTAATTCATCCATAATCTTATACTTTTATTTCTATTTCGTTTATTGATTTATTAACCACCATGAATGATAACGGAAACATTTCTTGTCCCGCGTCTCGTAATGAGAACCAACCTGAAATAAAACCTTATAAATTATCTGAAATATTTTCTATCGTACCCGAATTTGAAGGCGATCAGATATTTTTACACACATTTTTAAATGCTTGTGATTATTCGTCGAAAGAAAATGTAAAAAAGTATTTTTGAAGTGTGTATATTTTAGGCAATTCCTAGCTGAGCGCTTTCGGCTTTACAAAGCCATCATCAGAGCTATGGTCAATTTATAAATACCACTACAAAGGAGAGATATCATTTCCTTATATTTCAAAATTATTATTTTTTTAGTTGTTGAAATTCTTAAAACATATAAAAAACATATAAAAAGCTGACACTGGACTTCACAAACACGTTAAAAAATTGAAAAAAATTTTTTTTTGTCATGGTACGGGTGTAAGAACCCGACCATTGATTGATGTGAGGAGGTAGACAGAATAGACTATTCTGTCTACCTCCTCACATCAATCAATGGTCGGGTTCTTACACCCGTACCATGACCCAAAAAAAAAAAAAAAATTTCAATTTTTTAACGTGTTTGTGAAGTCCAGTGTCGGCTTTTTATATGTTTTTTATATGTTTTAAGAATTTCAACAACTAAAAAAATCATAATTTTGAAATATAAGGAAATGAGATCTCTCCTTTGTAGTGGTATTTATAAATTGACCATAGCTCTGATGATGGCTTTGTAAAGCCGAAAGCGCTCAGCTAGGAATTGCCTAAAATATACACACTTCAAAAATACTTTTTTACATTTTCTTTCGACTTGTCATAAGTGTGTACAAAAAAATATCAGTCTTTTGATTGCTTGTGATTATGCCTAGAATATGTCTACGCGTGATCAAAAACAACTGTTAGTAATTCACATAAAAAATAAATTACGCGGAAAAGCAGCACATTTTGGAGACACTAGAGACTTATCTCCTTTGATACAAGATTTACAGAGAGTCAAACAACTTCCAAATGAATCGGCTCTTATATTCCTTAATTGCGTCCAAATCCTTAATGCAAAAATGCGTGCTAACATACAGAAATCTAACCTCTCTGCTATAGAGAAACAGGCCCAAATTGTATTAATTGAATTAATGGCGCTCAATACCTTATTGACCGGCCTCGATCCAAAGATCGCTCACATTATTCGTGCAAGTAATCCAAAAGACATTTTTAAAGCTCAAGTCCGCATCAGACGAGAGTTCCTATTTCGAAATACCAAATTATCTTATTTCCAATTCCAATTATCCTATTTCGAAATACAGAAAATCAATAGACCCAATCCTCCAATACCAAATCAAAATAATCAACCCATCAGAAGACCAAACCTTCAACCACATAGATGCACGTTTTGTGGACGTATGGGCCACTCGTACAATGAATGTCGTTCTCGACAAAATCCTCAAAATAATTCGCAGAATTCCAGCAACTCCCATAATTTTAGCAATTCCCGAAATTTTAATAGCCATCAAAACTTTAATAACGCTCAAAGCAATGGTTTTCAAAGATCAGCTTTCAGTTCAAATAATAATTTCCAAAACAGTAGACCCAATGACCAACAAAGACCTCAATTCACACCAAATCAAAACAGTTCACAAGTACGCCCATCTGTAATCCATTAAAATCCTAATTTTTCAAACAGAGCTCATTTCGTTAACTATGAGCCTGACTATATTAATGACTATACTTCAGCTTTAAACAAAAGCTACCAATACGAAGATTTCTCTGATAGTAATTATTCACCTCCCGATTATTACCATTCATTTGATCAATCAACCGATTTAATTGATAGCAAAGACTATCAGGATTTTCATACTGTCCCGAATCAGAACCACACACCAGACAATACCAGTTTAATGAACAAATCTTTATTTCAAATACAGTATCAGATTCCAAATCTAAATTTGGACGACATGAACCCATCTCTGAACTTTCCAGATCAGAATTTTCTTTAAGCCCTCTTCTTGCTGTGAACTCTAAAAACCTGTACTATATATAGGACACATCAAATACTTTTAAATTACTTATCGATACCGGTGCTGGTATCTCTATCTTTAAAGAAAATACCGTGAAAAATTTCAAACCACGTTTTCCCGAACAAATTACTATACAGGGTATTACAGACCAAAAAATTCACTGAATCAACTTTAGTCCCGTTTCAAGTGGGAAACCCCCATAAGGTTTTCATTTATAATTTAGATATTGATTTTGATGGAATCTTAGGTCTCGATTTCTTAGAACATTACGAGTGTACGATAGACCTTAAAAACAAACAACTAATGACAAACTTTAAAATAACACATCTCTACAAAGTAGAAACTAATTCGCGTAACAATGAACCCCCTAATCAAATTAAAATAGTTCCCAGATCCGAACATATATTCAAGTTAAAATGTCATATGTCTAATTCAGATGTAATTTTGCTCAGAAAAGAAAAAGAAAAAGCCCATATCCCCAACGAGTTAGTACACGTAAATGAAAAAGGAGAATTTCTAACATCCGTAGTAAATGCAAACGCAATTCCCAAAATTATCGATTTTTCCGATATCGTAATTGAACCCTATCCGAAGTACCCTATTCTAAATTTCCAGTCAAATGATAACTTGGAAAATTATTGCCCTGATAAAATTGACCGTATCAACAACATAAAATCTCGACTTCGAGTCCGGCCCCGTCATCTAGCTTATCTTACAGCTTAATATCGGTTCTAACAAATTTGTTAATTACTAGTAGTTAAAATTAAAAATATAATTTAATTTTTATACTGTTTGCAACTTAAAGTTAATTGTGACAGTGCACTGAAAATCGTAGAATTCTGTGAGTACAAAACTGCATTATTAATAATCTTAAAATCAGAAGTTTAAAAGGCAAAATATTTTATCGATTTCAATTCAACTTATCGATTACCGACAACAACTGTTTGCTAGTTCTTGCTTCTAACAAGTAGGCTAGGCTGCTGCCCAATTTTATCAACCGGCCAGGTCCGGCTTTAGATCCTCTGTGCCAATGTACGAAAATTCTCAGCGGGAAGATGGATGAACCGGAATCAGCTACTACTTCACGAAATATACCCACTACGTCACATATATCTTACTCCAATGCATTAAACAGTTTCAAATAAATCCAAGGTATTATATCCCTTCAAAAGACCAAGGTATTATACTTTCAACCATACAAGGAATAAAAGTTTTCGAATATGTAAGCTGTTGGATCAATAGTACAGCACAAAAATGTTGTTTGGGCATCCAAAATAGCAAACAACCGCATCTGCATCTACCTCTCCTCTAAATATGTAGTTGATCAATTTCTTAGCTCCCACAAATATATAAATATTGATGGTAACCAGATTGAAGTAAGAAGACTTATAACCCCTGCCCAGAGACTCTAATGTATGCCCTACTATACCTAATAGCATAACTGAAGAGCACTTAAAACCGATGGGTATAAAATCCGC